CATATGCCTATTCACTATAGTGAAATAACAAATTTTAAAACCTTCTCCTGTTACTCAATTTGTAGTTGGACAGTCCTTCAAGCCAGGGATACATTTGCCCTTGCAGTACCACCTGGCATGATGACAGGATAGTATATGAAGCTGGAGCCATCACAGAGCAGACCCGCTCCTTCCACTTTGCAGGCAGACACTTCTGTATCAGAGCCTGAGGGACTGAACAAAAAAAGGGAAGAACTGCCTGCAAAGCCAACAACAGGCAAAGGACAGGTTCTAGAGGTTCCACCAGCAGCGGGAGAAAGCAGAGCGCCAGACAACAATTTGCAAGAGGCCACGTGGGAAACGCAGTTATCGAACAAGAACTATTGATGCCAACAGTGTAATACCTGAATTGTTAGATTTAATTATTAATTTCCCACATCAATTCACATAATAACGCATACATCCTGATCTCGTGGTCAGATTTCCAAAAACTGCTCCCTAAGCAGAGTTAAAAACTGCAACTCCAATGAAAAAACAGGGAAATAGTTTATGCTAATGCCTACCTAACATTCATACTGAGGTAGAGAATTTGAATAAAGAAGGAAAAAATGAATGTCAATAAACACGGAAAGCAAGATAAATCTTTCCTGATCGATATGAATAAAACGGTATTTGGTTTATTCACAGTGAAGTACTACTCACTGCTGTTTGCTAAAATCAGTGCTGCACATACCATAGTCACCAAATACATAAACACAACCTGGCACGTACAGCAACATATTCCTTTTATTTCTACAAAGAAGCAATCAAAAAAAATTCTTTAATGAAATAGTCTAAGAATGGACAGAAAAAAATCCTTGTGTTAAAAAGTATTTATTGAAAACAAAATATACACAACATACACAACACACTATGCCAGCAAAACAAATCACCATTACTTACCTCTGTTTATATTTGCAAACGGCCCCTCAACGTCTATAGAGCTGTGAGCGAATTCAGGTCCTCTGAAAGACTGCTGAAGTTGCATCATACTACCCATGGATGGCTCACTTCCCAAAGCTCCTCCATTCCAGTATTCAGATTGCGCCCCCGTCGCTAAGAAATGAAAAACAAACAAACAAAAATCTTCACTGTCAATAAACAAGGTAAAATACCAGTCCTAAAACCTCTAGCTGAAATCTGCTCTGATCATCATTTTTCCTCCTTCAGCAGATTCACTCACACCTTTGTGTGCTGTAGTTCTCTACACGGGCACTTGCCCAAAGCCACTGAGAAGCCATGTTGCTAAAGGAAGAGGTAAAGAGAATTTGTTATTTCATGGATTGCTCTCATCTGTTGGGTTGAAATGCTGACTTGGATCACATAAAGGAAACAGTTCACAGTATTGTTGCAGTCATTTGTGCACATTACAAAATGGTCAACTTTTGTTCAGGAAAGTTCTGCAATTGAAACAGCATGAAGTGGTTGTAGGTCAGAATGGAAGTAAATTTTCTGTGCTTTGTGAAAGAGCTTTCACAGTACCTCTCTGCCAGATGCTTAGATTGCAGCTCTGCCAACCGATACGTAACCTTCAAGGCACTAAATAAAACTTTTATGCAGAAAATAAGGAAATTAAGAAAGACTTAGAAAAAGGAAGGGAAGTAAAAATTCAAAAATGAATTTAACAAAAAAGAAGACAGAAAAAGTATACAAAAGAAAACAAGACGATCTGTACCGCTGCCGTTTATCAAATGCGGAACTATGCACAGAGCCAATCACTGCACTACAGAATATTTCTGGTTTTAAAGGTTGCCAATTTGTACTTGTGAAAGACATGATTACTGACATATTGCACCAGAAAGGGTTACTGCGGAAACCCTGCATTCAAGTGCGGTTGCATCACCTTTGCTTTGCTTATTCAGATAACTAAGAGTGGCAGGCCTTCATGGTGTTAAGGTGTTAACTGTCTGCTACCATCATCGCTGTATTTTGAATCAGACGCAAAGCCAGAGAGGACTGATCACGTACCTATCTGAATCCTTCCCATGTTATGTTACCGCTCATGGCATATGCAAGGTTTTGCCCTGTATGTCATTAAGTTTGCTAGGGCTTCCCTTTCAAAAAAGTATTTGATTAAATGATTCTTTTGGTGAGTCCATGTTTGTTAAATATCTAACTCCGCTATTTTGAAGAGTTAGGCGGCTGAGCCTGGAATACTTCTTCATCCATAGACAGTAAGTCGATTTAAGACACCTTCTAGTTTCAACTGGGCACTTCTGGATCTTTTGGAACATAATCTCTGAGTTCCACAATTAGCAAATGCAGAACACAGAAGAGAACATAAAACTCAGAACTGTTCATGAAACAACTTCAAGAAAGTTTCAAGTCCTCATGTCTAGACAATGCTCCATTTTCTTCATTGATCCATGAATATGACCAGAAATTTAGGGTCCGCACACTATAATCTATAGTTGCAAAGTCAGCTTCCTTCATCCTTCAGAAATATTTTATGTTGCTTTTAAGTCCAGATTAATAAACCTTTTATCAAAAGAATATAAGTATTTGTCTTATGTTTTATTATTCATAGACTTCAGTCACATTTCAACATAAAATGCAGAGGACGGAATTCTCACCTGTAACATCTGTACAATTGTCATCAGAATCAGAGTCTTCGGGATCAAACACCTGGATTCCTTGGGCCTGCAGCCTCTGAAGTTTTGCTTCTAGCTCTCGTTTGGCCCTCAGTAAGTCCTGAATCTCATTTTCTTTAGTTTCCCTAAAAATCTACGAGCAGGAAAAAAATAGTTTTGAAGTACAAACCATAAATCTTTTGAATCCAGTATCATTTCCTGGATTCATATTATCCACCTTCATTTGCAAATAAAAGTTTTTAGCGTTATTTTAGCAGGGAAAGGCTTGAATATGCACACAAAAAGCCATCAGGAGCTTAAAAACTAGTTGGAAAACAGTTATAAATTATCTATTTTTTTATTTTACTCTTTTAAACCTTAGTGTATCATTCTGAAAGGTTAAGAGTCTGCATTAATATGAGAAACTCATTAAAAATGGTAAGTAATTTTCTTGATCTGTAAACATTTAGTGTTTTTTAAAATGGCTACAACTTTTCAAAGGTTCCCTTTTATTTTTGCATGTGTTTTCACATTTACATAGAATCTTGCATTTATTTTTGATTGCTGTGGTCATTTAAATTTTCTAAAATAAAAAGTGATCAAGCATCTCCAGCTGACCTGTTGGTACAATATTACCATCACAGGGAGAGAAAAGCATGAAAATAGATTTACATACAAATGGTTGAACTAGAATTCTTCAAGTCTGATTTCTTGAAGAAGGTCAAAATCAATTCTCTTTTTATATATCTACCAGACATTAACACCTGTTACACTTAAGGATATCACTAACCTTGAAATCACTGCAAAAAGTGGGCCTACTGCCTTATTTTGGGTGGGAAAAGTAGTCTGCAGCAAGGCAAAAGCCGAAGCGTTACCATGGCCTTTCAAGTCATCCTAAAGCTAAAAGCCTTTACACATTTCCTTAGTTGGCTCTCTTATTTTAGCAGCCAAAAGAGATGCACCACACACAATTTCCTCTCAGGTAAGCTAACAGTGTTAAACGTTACAATGCTAAATACACAATTTACTCAGAAATAATTAAGGTCTGTGTTTAAATGTATACATTCCTTCAACACGTAACAGTCGAGCAGCCTGTTTTCTCGTTCCTCTGAGGTATAAAAGCTGCAAGGACTAGCGTTAGAATGACACGGGGATTTAGTTTCAGATTCATCACTGCATATTCTCTTTTTAATATATATAAAAGTTATCTTCCATTCCATCTAAATTTTGTCCTTGTTAGGCAGAAAAAGTGGGTAGGATTATCTTGAAGGAAATCATCTGCTACAGCTATGATACTGCAACTTTTTTAAGAAGGAGAAGTCCTCATAAAAGCTGCTGGAGAAGAGCTCATTGGGCGAACGGGACCGAGTGACACCTTGACCTTTTTTTGGCCGTTTCCCCAGAGAAAGAAGAGTCAAGCCATACCTTGAACTGCCTTTTGACTTTGTCTCGATCGTGTTCAAACGTAGCAGCTCTCTCCATGGCTTGGTATTTGGCCTCCAACGCGCTTTCCTTCTCTCGGAGTATTTTCTGGTACGTTTTCTGAAGCGCCTGAAAAGATTCGACAGGCCGGTTAGTCAGCGAGGAAATAACGGCTGCCGAGCAGGCTTTAGACGACGTTTTCAGCGGTGCCGGTCTAAACGCGGCACCGTTATCCCAGCGCCCTTGCCCGCGCCCTCCCTCCGGCGACCTCGCGCCGACGCGCC